AAGTATCCTTTGTGTCATTGCGTATAAATCATTTGTGAAGATATTTTATCTCTTCACCTAAATAAATAAATAGCGTTTTATTCGAGGTGTTTATGGTACCTGAGAAAGAACACTAATGTTTACAGGTTTGCATCTTCAAATCATCTGTTTTTTTTATGATCTTTGTTGAAACTGACGGTTCCGATAATGGGGAAAGGTAGTGTGGTTTGTTTTAGCAGCTGAAGTTATGTCAGAGACTCGCCCCATCACACTGTAAACGTATCGAAAATAGTCATTCTTTCTAACTTTAACTATTTGTAAATAGATATATTAAAAATGTTGTCAACATTTTGTGATACTTCTGCGATTCACTGTATATTGTCAAGTGTTTTATTGTGCGTTGACCGTTAACTTTTCACTATTTATTCCTACAAATGAAATCATAAATTGCGTCTTGACAGTCCGTCTTTCGTGGTCTCCAGTTATCACAGCTTTTGTCTGTTTTAACTCTGGCACGTCTGAATCTTTACAGTTTCAAAACATTTTATTGGACTCCTTAGACGAGTTATCGCGATCACCCTGCTGATGGAGGCAGTAAGCACCTCTGAAACGTCTGCGTTAAACGTCTACCAGACTACACGGCGCAATAACACATAAGAAATTCTTATTCATACTATCAGCCGTGAGAACGTCAAATCTCACTTTGACTTAATTTATTCAGGATATTTTCATTACAATTTGCAGAGAAAAGCAATTGAAATTTCAAAGACGTGTTAGAAAATTGAAATCGAGAAGACACGTTTGTTCCTAACAGATGAATGTGAGATTTTTTCTACAAACTATTCCAACTCTTAGATTAATAGCAGTTTGATTCTTACGAGTTTCGGCATAGGAATGTGCACCGACATTATGTTTTACGCCACGTCTGTCCGTCAGTACTGTTATATGACTAAAATGAAATTCTCCTGTGTATTTTTTAAACTTCAAAACAATTTGTTCAGCTGTGAAGATATTCAGCTTTCTTAACTTGCGCAAAATTACGTTTTTAATTACATCTGTCCATCACATTTACTATCATATGAAGACTAACGTTCCCATCTTCCTTCCTCAAATCTAAAACCACGTCACATTGTGTTAAAAGTCTGCATACGCAACACACAGCAAACATTTCCAAGCAAATTAATCTTTTAGCCACTTCAGCTTAGAAAGTCTTGCAAGTGTATGGAGGCGAGTCCATCTGTTTGTAACATTGGTATTATATCCCTTAAAAATGTAATATGACGATAGGGAAGTCTAAGATTCTGAAATCTGTTTCCTTCTTTAATGTTTAGTTAGTACTTTGATATACACGGCGTTCTGTTTCTATACGGTCTGAAAGAGGACTGTCACCCAGATATTACTCACAGCCTCGTTAATCACGATTAACAACGAATTATTTAACAAGAATCAACAGGCGATGCTTTATATCATCATTCACACCGGACCTGTAGCGATATTGCTATTCAAATTATGGCTCAGCGACTGGCGATGCGTGTCGAAAGCAGTTTTATTGCAGTGTCGCGGAGCGATACGTACCTGTCGCTACGGTGTTTGTAGTGACTTATTGCGTCGTCCGAAGAGCCGTCTTGCGTGCAGCGCATCATAGCAGATAGTAGTGAGACAAAGGAACAACGAAATATTAAGTTGCTGAAAATGGTAGAAAATGCTGTGTGCAGTGATCATTTAATTCTCCAACATTTTCGCGGACTGGCAATTGAGTGTAAATATACATTCAGTGCGATATCGCATATGACTTGTGTTGCCTGTTGCTTTTTACTTCTGAGTGAATCCTGATGTAAACTCAAATTCTTCAGCTTTTAGACAAAGGTATCGTGCACGTGTAAGACAGAACGTTGGTGTGGTGGGTAGCAGTTATACCCAGCTTCGGCATTTATTCTGGGTTTTACGGTATTCCTCATTTCGATAGGCCAAGACACCTTCCCTTCGTTCCTCATAAATCTGAGACATTACCTTTCGATAGGCCAAGACACCTTCCCTTCATATTCCTTCCAATTTGTTAATCACACTTATTTTTGTAATGTACGCTGAGCAGCCTACTAATTACATCAAAGAGCTCGGGTCCTGTAATGAATTAACAGTTTTAAAAATTTGAATCTACTTAAATGTATTAATATACCTATTATGTTACGCCACTAACAATTGTCTTCTTCGTATTTTGGCATTGCGTAATAATATTTGTGTGGTGATGTACTGTACAGTATAGGTCGTTTTTCATTCTGTATAAACATTATGTATGATGTTACTACAGTGTCCATACCTCACTTTTAATTTAATGTATATTATTTTGATATTCGAGTTTGCGAAGTTCCCAAACTGAAGTATCGTTCAATGTGATCGAGATACTAATAAAAAATTATTTTCTGAGACATTTTCATCTTTTACCTGATAACATTGTAGTGGGCTCCTTTGCTGACGTTTTGGAGATATTTGCCACCGTCTGTAGGATCAAGATGTCAAAAATTCTTGTTCCCATATTTACAATTCTGTGCCATGGGGCTTCGTTGTCAGACCTTTCAATCAGGACATAAAATGTGAGCTGTTTTTCCCCCCGAAACGTCTTAAAATCAGCCCATCACAACATTATGTTATCATGTATAAGATGTTTACAAGTCTTTAGCTCTTTTACACTGGGTGTTTATAAACTTTTATAGTATTTTTGAAGCTCAGTTTCATTGAATCTACCGCTCGTACAGACATAAGATAGGGGACATAGAAGAACAGTTGAAACATTTTTTTGTGTTATTTAATTTTTTGGTAATGAAAACCGACCTTAATATGCGTTCTGTAGATGTGTGTGAATAAACTGCCTGCTTTCCTTTAGCACAAAACACAATACATTTTATCTCTGTTATATCTTTCTGTGCTTGTTTGTCTTAGTCATCACTTATCTTTATTCATAGAAATTGTTATTTTTATTATTAACACATTTTCGTATTAGTGTGTTTGCTATGGTAGAAGTTTTTTCTTGTTAGTAATATTTTATATTTTATGTTATCTTATAGGGGCTTCGGATTTATCACCTTCGCCGATCCGGCTAGCGTAGATAAGGTTTTAGCTCAAGGGTCACACGAGCTAGACGGTAAAAAGGTACCGTAGACATTTTTTAATTCCATAGTCCTGTAAAATAAATTTCAAAATGAGTCCAAGAACACATGTATTATTAATTTGAAAACAGCTTCATTTATAACTCGTGATTAAAGCACTATAATTTAATAAATTAAAATGAAAGATTATAATATGTTTTGTTAAAACCATTTTTAAAAATACGGTTTCGAAGACGGATATCGGCAATGCCCATGCAAGAGGTAAGTCACAGAAGACTAGATTGTTGCCAGTCGGCGAATGGACTTTGCTTCATTTGCGAAGCATCTACTCTGGCTTCGTGTCTCACCCCTCCGCCGCCCCAAGTTAACATCATAATCCTCTTGAAATTTTAAGCTCCATAAGAATAAACACACGCTCGTATATACTTGTTTTCTCAAAAGCAAGGAAATGATTTAATTAGTTTTGCTTACTGTTCTGTACTTTATTAGTATTTTACATTTTTATCTTTATTTTTAATACACTCTCTTCTCCAAATCTATGAAAAATGCTGTCACGTAGCCATGAATCCTGGATTATAAACTGTGCATTTATAGTCTTTATGTAATACACACCCCTGCAATCCTCTCGAAGCATATCATTCGCTTATTGGCTAATCTAGACACATAAAGACTGTAGTATATATATATATATGTATGTTACCGGAAATAGCCGAGATTCGTTTAAAGTAGTTTTTCCTAGACAAAATTAGAAATTCCTTTCACTGTTGGATTGTTAGGTTAGGTTAATTTCCCACGTAAAGACGGACGTGGTACCGGATTTTAGGATTTTGACTGTTTCTTTCTATTCATAAGTAGTCTATTTGCTTTCGGCCTACGAAATTTTAGGAAATCCTAACAGCGTTAAGATTTCTAGATTTGCCTAGGATAAACCAGTTGATTCGGATTTTGGGTGTTTTCGGTAATATATGCACAGAATGTTCCAATTTTACTGAGACAAATGTATATCTGTAACGAAGATTTATGCAGAATTATGTTTCGTACCGATGTAGTGCAGCCAGAGAACAGCTTGAGTGTTATATTGAAGGAAGTTCAGAACCGATATTTAGTTAAAAAAACTTTTAGCACAATTAAAGTTTTCACTGGTAGGTTCCCAGATTATTCTCTGCTTTTTCAGTCATGTGTGTTCGTCTCACCAAATTGTAATCTCTGATATTTTGCGCTGAAGTTAGAATGATATTGAGCGTACGAGTGGATGACATTGAATAGTATTGTTTATCAAATTCTTTTAATATTTGTCAGCTTGGATACTGGAGAACTGAAGTGGTTATGGTGTGTTACAGTATTTTGGCCTTACGGTCCTCTGCTCTCATAGTAAGGGTTAAGGAGTCAGTTCAAAAGCGGGAGTGCAAAGAAACGGATTGTCGTTGTCGTACGTGATGTAAGGAAATTCCTTCGAATTCATTTCAGTTTCATGTAATACTTTTGATAAAATTAGTTTATATAGTTTCAGAAACAATAAGGAATAGCCGTCATCGGTACCGTTTCCAGGATTATATTTCAAGTTTTATTTTTAAAATATATATCGGCAAAAGTACATAAGATTCACAGATGTAATATGGTGGTAGCATGCCAAGTCTTCGTTCATAATAGAATTTGTCTGTTGTAAATAGAATTCATCAGACAAAACCTGTATTCGAAGCGATACGCTGTATGTTATGCTGAATTTATGAGTTCCCAGGCAGCCAGTCATGTGAAATGCATTTTGACATGCAGATTACCAAGATTCTTAAGAGGGAAGTTTTGCGGCGTCTTGTGTAGTTACTGAGAGGTGGAGATTTTTTCAACATTTTGGATAGTTGTCTTAGTAACGTTGGAACATTCACAATCCTGGTGACTTTGCTTCTTCCGTGAATAAGCCGGGCGATAAATGGTTTCCATGGTAAGGGTGAAGCCACCCTCATCTCTAGTATCTTTTTACAGATTAGACTAACTGAGTGTTTTCAGTTCTTATAGATTACTAACAAAATAGTTCATTCTAGTTCCATGATAATTTCTAAATTGTTCTTTTTTGTGCTGAGTCTATATTTCAATCTATATAGTTGTATACAAATTAATAATATGCATTCTTAGACTGATAAGCCAGTGTGTATTATATTAGAAGCCATTAGGATTAGAATAATTTACAATAACTAGTGTCTAAGTTAATCTTTACAGAGTATAGTTGTGGTTAGCCAGTAAAAGTGGACTGAAAATAGTGTTAATAACTTGCTTCTGTATTCAATGTCTTTTACGTCTTACTTAATTTACTTCTTTGTTAATGAGTATATAAGTGCTTAAGTAGAGGCATTTGCAGGGCAATCCCAGTAAGGTAGTAGTGCAGTGGCTTGTGGTGGTTTAACCCTTCCAATTTTATTCGATAACATTTTGAATGAACGAGGTTTACGGCGAGCCTAATATGCAATTGCGTGTGGGAGACTTGATATCTATTGTGAGTTCCCATCAGCTAGCGGGCAACAAAGGACCGGCTTGGTTACCCGCAACTCTGAGGATGAGAACAGAGATGGTTTTCGAAACGTTGGCAGAAGATATGGTTTGTTCACCATTCAGCCACCTGACGCGGCTTGTAGCTTCAGTCGCCGCGAAATCTTTACTTCATACGTCTATTGTTAATGTTATAGTGAAGAACAATAGTCAATGATATTTGAGGGTAATATTAAAGTGAATCTCAAGGAAGAAGTTTGATAGAGAGTGTATGCATTCTTTGTTTAATGGATATATTCCAGTGAGGGATACCTCTGGTATGTTATATTATTATGTCTTGTATTCTTGTGGGAGTACACCAACGTTTGGAATGAACATGTTGTTTATATCTTTATGGTGCATGTGATACATTTGTATACACCGAGAAGACTACGTGCAGTAGCAACCCAGATGGCCACTGTCTGAACTGACATTGCCGATTTACCTGTCTTACATACTGATGGCAGGTGTTTGATGCTCGGTGACAGGTATTTTTCTGTGAGAGATTTTAGGTTCCTTCGGCGGCGAGTTTAAACATGACTGTTTTCTGGGATGTTGGGCCGTGTAGTCTGGTAGGCGTTTGTCGACGTTTTAGAGGAGCTACTGTATTTATGCTCAGGTCGATGGATGTAGTATAACCTTGAAACGTCGGTTAACTTCTACCAGACTGCACGGCCCAATATCCCAGAATATAGTCATCTTGAAGTACTTTTTTCTTGTCGGAGTTCCCGTTTCTGTGCCTCACGTACCGTCCTCCGATTCGGTTGGTACTGGAGTCTTTAAAATTAATCTGACCATTCATCGTCAAGTAGTACTTTACCGTCGGGCCTAAGAATACGTGGGGTTTACTTCCACTCCTCTTGGAGTACTAGCGCCTTCATCGCAAGGTTCGATCTGTTCTGTTCCTCCCCCCTTCATCCGTCTAGCGAATCTTCTGTTTCCATGGTAATTCATCCCCCGACACAGCAGACTAGTTTCCTAGCGTTTTCTTTCAAACTTCAATTTGGTGGATTTCAAACCTGATAGTGTGTGGTTACACTTGCCTGGCAAAATCTAGTAAAGGTCTCTCTCGCGTGCAATTTCGTGCTGTTGAAATGAAAAGAGTTGATCATTTCGCTACATCAAGTTTCCAGACAGCAATCATTTGACAGCATTCAGCTGGAGTCAAACTCAGCGGGGTCTGACCTGATCTATTATTCATTTCAATACAATTGAGGGGTCGAAATAGTACATAGTTTATCATTAAGTGGTTTTCGACAAACAAATAATGATGTGATGTCATCTTCGACATCAGTCATCGGGGAACAAAAAGTTTGAATTTACAAATCTCCAACGGTGTTCTCTGCTGCTTTCGTTCATGATTGATGCTGATGACATTAGTTTGTTTGGGATATTCATTGTGTGAATTAATTGGGTTAACAGCAGTGGGAAATTATGGTAACTAGACACAGATAAGATATGAAAGAAATAGCGTAAATGAGAACTTAAAATCTGTATTCCGATACACGTGGTTAGACAAAAAATAAACAGCCGCTCACCTACAGCCTAAGAGATTGGTACATCCAGGAAGAAGTGGTAAACCCTCTTAACTAGAATGGTTGAAGACACGTGGCAAAGAGTAAGAGGTTTTGAAGCTGATACAGGGGATGTTAAGGGAAGACATTGATGACTGCGCTGCTGATCCATGTTACAAGAGGCATACAAATGTTGTTGGTAACCGCGAATAACAGTGCAAAGGCAAACCATTTATGCTTTTACAGGGCGATTAAAAAGTTCCTGTTCACTTGTGGGAACAACTTTTGAATCACCTTCTGTGTAGTTAAGAACTGACACAGATAATTTTGTATGCAAAACGTTCTAGCGTGTTAAGAAAATAATCTTACCATATGAAGCATGGACATGTGTTTCTTTTTTAATTCCGTTTCATAAATGGAAAATATTTATGTCTGGTTTACATGAATACCGTCATTGTCAGTGTTAAGCGCGCAGACAGAAGTAAAATGGACTCCCCAAGAAGAACTGGAGGGACCAGTTATCAGGTAATTTTAATCTAATTTTAAACGTAATGGAGTCGGAAGAGGTCAGATGGCAAAAGCCGTGATATTAATATCAGTGACGATAATCACTGTTTGTCCCATCCGTTTCCGTGCTTCGTATCTTAATGTTGACAGGAAATGGATGCACATTCTTTCGGAAATACACAGCCCTGTTAAATTTGTGATACACCTTGTGATATGAAGTATTCAATACTCGATGTACAAGATATCTCAGTGGTATTACTTAAACCACTCTAGAAAAGCCAGTGACCATGGTGGTGACCACCACCCGCGTGATTTTAGGCAGCGAGAACCTCTGAAACGTCGGTAAACTTCCACCAGAGCCCAGAAGACAGCCATCTTCGTATTCACCGCCCTGAGAACCTCGAATTTTGTTTTCGTGAACCCGTTTGAATTGAATCGGGATAATTGTCAAGGGTTTTCTTACTGATAATGATGACTAAGCTTACTCTTTTGCTTCTAAAGA